TCTCTCTCTCTCTCTCTCTCTCTCTCTCTCTCTCTCTCTCTTTCTCTCTCTCCTTTTCTTGTCCTTTCGCTCTGTTTTATTCTCTCTTTGTCTCTCTTTTTGTCTCTGTATCTTGCTGTCTCTTCATAATTTGTTGTAGCATGGGAATATATTTATTTCATTTGAACATTTGAATAGCAGCTCTGTACCAGCCTATAATTTAGTGTTGCTAATTATTATTTGTGTTAATTAATTAATTACTTAATAACATCCGAGATGTATATATAAACACATTTAGCCATCCTTATCTAATTAATTATAATTATGGCCATTAATTAATGACTAATTGGTAAATTGGGATTCTCGGGCTGGGCTGTCGGAATTGTTTATTTAAGATCTATACATATGATGATTTAAATGCATCCTGCACGGTTTAATTTAATTGAATAATGCAAGCTGTGTTGTGTTTGTAATATTGTATACATTTTACACTAAGGCTATATGTACTTATACATATTTAATAAGGTTACGTTGGGTTTTTGTTAAGTTCGAGTGAATGAGTGGATTTAATTAATAAGTGTTGAAAGTGATGGTATTAATATAATGTAATATGATGTGATTGGATGTTGTGCTGTTATGTGATGGGATATGATGTAATGGGATGTTTTCTCACAGAGATGCATCTCCCAGCTGTCAGACGAGTTTCAGTGTCGACGACATCCCGCTACCTACCTCATCATCTACGTCATCATATCCATCAGCCACCAATGATATTCCACTTCCTGGAAGTATACAACTGGATGATATTCCCATTCCAGGTATGTGTGTGTGTGCGCGCGCGCTCGCGCGTGTAAGTGTGTGTGTACGTGTGTTAATGCAATTGTGCGTGTTATCATATAGTAGTTGATCATTTATTTAATTAATGTTGTGTAGCTTTCTTCGCATTGTAATTCAGTGATGTTTTTGCAACATTCTTGGTTTGCATTATGTGTACACGTGTTTTTTTAATGTTACCTTAAAACGAATTTAACAATCGAAATATTTTTTAAATTTTCGCAAATTCTGCAGACAGCAGCAAGTCAGCGACAACGAGCAAACTGTTGAACAACAGCAGCAACCACCACCGCCACACTGTGGACGATGACGCCACCGCCATCACAAAAACAAGACTCGGTGTCGTCAAATTGCACAAATCCAAAATGACGCAGCTCTCTACTTCGACAGTAACGAGGCCTTCCTTGCTGGAACTCATGTCCGGTCAGATATTGAAAGGGACTCCTAAGAAATTTTCTAGACTTAAAACTACGCAACTAATAAAAAAACCCAATGTTCAGATTGATAGTAACAAGAAATTAACTAAAAACGACAATTTCAGTGTTAATAATTCGACCTCTAATGATTTACTAGGTAGTGCTAATCTTACCAATTGCAACAGTGTATCGAATGCAGTGACATCTACAAAGGTCAGCCAGGGTAACAATAACAGCAACAGTAACAACGGTGATTCTCTTGCTGCTAGTAGCAGCAAGCCAAATAATTTTTTCTCTAGTTCACATCAGCAAAGTACGCTCTGTGTTAATTCAAGGAGGTTAGAAATTCAGCAGCGAATTAATGCATGGAAGGATGAATTGATGAATGAGATGGATAAAGAGAAGAAGAGGAGTAAGAGGATGAGGTACAGTTCCAATCAGTCTGATGATTACATTGTTGAGGATATAAAGTCTGCCAAGTCATTTTATGATAGCAAAAATAATCTTCTCCCTACCTCCAAATTTCCATTTAGTCCATTGCCCAACCCTAAACTAGAATCTAATACCTCCACTAAGCAAAACCCTCTAAACAACAACATTAAATCTTACGGTAACAACAACAATGCAACAACAACAAGCTCTAATTCGGTTTCTACTAATAATCCACTGATTGATAACTACCACATGTTCGTTCGAGGCAAGCGAAAAGATCCCAAATATTTCTGGCCCATTGAGTTAGTCAACTGGACATCAGCAACTCCATCCATTTCTTTCAGTTGCAATCCTTTGTATTTTAACTTTTCCAAAGCATGCAGAGTTAAAACACTGGTGAAAAGTACTACTCCCATCTCTGAGAAACCAATATCTGAGAAACTCGAGAAGAAAGAAAGTCAATCAGCACCATTGAACCCTCAAAAGAAATTAAAAACTAATTTACCATCACTGACTTCTGACAGCGTAGCAGAGATGAAGAGAGTTTGTTCCCAGTTAGAGAGAAAAGAGAAGCAGGGCACGGATAGGCTGCAGTTGAAATGCACAAATGGATTCGATGACGACTGCTCCGCCCCATCCGTTCTCGGCAAGTGGGACTCCAGTGATGACGATAGCGACGACGGAAAGATGCAAAAACTTCGAGTAGAGCCGGAGCCGAAAGAGAAAATAGAGAAGAATATTAGAAAAAGAAGTCCCAGCCATGAAAGTCGAAACACTTCCGCAACTGACCATTCCTCATACAGATCGAGATTGTCTAGTTATTCCGACAGTAGTAGTAGAAGAAGAGACCACTCTTACAGCAGCAGCAGCTCGAGAAGTAGATCAAGATCATATTCATCCTACTCATCTCGAGGTAGTCGCCACAGCAGAGGAAGGAGGAGGAGAAGAAGTAAGCACGATTCGTATAAAAGTTACTCCAGGTCATACAGTAGAAGTTATTCCAGATCCCATTCATCCAGAGGTCGATATTCAACTGGAAGTTCGTCGAGTTACTCACGGAGTCGGAGTAGGAGTTACACAAGATCTAGAAGTAATTCTTCCTACAGAAGGAGGAATGTGTACTTCAGTCGGAGATCTAGGTCACCGTCGAAAAGTTCTGTTAGAACTATAACTCAAAAGGTTCTTCCAAATAAGTCGAAAAAAGTTAATGTTAAAAACCAGTCATCGGCATCTGGTAACGATGTTTCAGAAAAAATTCCAGCAAGTATAAAAATTAAGAAAGAACCCAATGTGGAGGCTGATGCTAGCGTTCAAAATTATTCCGCATCATCAGCTGCTCTTAAAAACGATTCCACCGTTCATAATACCGGTACAAGCACTGCCACTACATCTCTACCTCCAAAACCTCCCTTCATTGGTCCTACCATTCCGGCAGATCATTCTAAATTGGGAATGCATGATATCCCACTTCCTAAAAAAGATCTATCCAGGGATGAAATTTTTCAACCAATTGGTCCCAATGACCCTTTAGTGTTTAAAAGTGCATCTACAATTGAAAGCAGCAACAACAACAACAAGGATGATAACCCTGACGATGATGATGATGATAATAAGGATGCTGGTCAGTTTGACAATTCATTCATCATACCTCCAGAGCAGATGGACAAGTACAAAAATCTCATCCAACAAGCTGAAAGACATGCTAAGAAGATTTTAGGTGGGAAGGTTGATGATAAAGTTGTTGAAGTAAATGTTCCAAAGTCGAAACCAGAAACTATTGTTGAAGATGTTTCAAACTACAACGGGAGCAATCCCCATCAACAGTTAGTGAAGGAATTGTACTTGGAACATATGGCCGCCATGATGGGGATGGAGCGAGTCCGACCTCACCCACGCTTTCCTCCTCATCACCATCCTCATCATCGCCATCATTCACCTCTCTTACGATTACAACAACCGCACTTCAGAATGCTACATCAACAACGTTTCAATTTGAAGCAACAACACTTTGAAAAGCAACAGGAACTTGAAAGACAAAAACAACGACAGCTTCAGCAGCACCACATTGAACGTCAACAAGAAATGGAGAGGCAACAGCACATTGAACAACAACAACAACAACAACAACAGTTGGAACAACAACAACTTGAGCAACAACAACAGCTCGAACAACAACAACAGCAGCTGGAGCAGCAACAATTACTTGACGAACAGCAGCAGCAGCTGGAACATCAAAAGTTGCAGCAACAGTTTGAACAACAACAGTTAGAACAGCAACAATTACGGAAGCAGTTGCAGCAACAACAGTTACAGCAACAGCTGCAGCAGCAGCAACAACAACAACAACTTCCAGTTAACCAGCCATTAATAATTAACCACCAAGGTAGGATAATTCAAATTGTGGGGCCACAACCTCAGGTGGTAGCCCAACCTTCCATGATTCCCATCATTCAAGTAGGGTCATCTCTGGTTCAAACCCTTCCCCAAACCGGGCCTTCCGTGATCGTGTCAAATGCAGCCGATCTTCCAATCACAGCTGGTTCAAATTTAAGCCTGAACAAAGATTTAATCATTCAAAAGCAACGTGATGCCATTCATAAACCAGTTGTGTCGTCATCAGCTTCGTTGTCGTCCGCAGATGAGGAGACAAAAGAGGTGAAAACAGCATTAGAAGCGCAGAACGCAGCTGCATCAAATTCAGTTGTTGAGCCCACTTCGTCATCGTCGACACCAACCGCAGCAACATCTCGAGAGAGTGTGTTGGTGAGTGAAGACCACAGATTTCCCATATTCCGAGTAGATGACCTCGACTGTCAACATTTGATTGCCACGGGGGGCAATCTCGAGGGCCGAATCATAAACAGACCTGAGTGGGTCCAGGTCGTTCAGATACCCTCTCAACATCAACAAATATTGATCCACCACCAACAACAGCAGCAGCAACAACAACAACAACAATTGCAACAGCAGCTACTACTGCAACAAATACAGCAACAACTGCAGCAACAGGCTGGCTTGATACTTGCACCGGCATTTCACCAGCCACAGATAGGAGTACCCATCGTTAAAAGAACAGTCAGAGGGGGCCTTATTTTTGGAGAGCAGAAGAACCCGACAATAATTCAGCTGCCAAATGGACAACTGGTCACCCCAACTATCATTGGTGGGCCAGCGCAAGTCATTGGGCAGCCGGCCCCACAACCGGCATACCCTGTGTTACTCGGCGCCAACGGTCAACTTTTGGTTCCTAGATTTGTTTAATCGTTAATGCCATTGTTTGAATTTTTTTAATTTCAATTTAATTTTATTTACCCTGTGAAATTTTTTCCAGTTCCCATGTTTCGGTTTCGTTTTCTATTCCGAATCTATCGTCCTTTTGTTGAATATCTCGAAAACTTTCAGTTTATTTGTTATTTATTATTGTGCTGATTCGATTTGTAACATTTGTCGGTTCATCACATCTTCTTCATCTTCATCATCGTCACAGAACTCATATCATATTTCTATATAAATGATGAAATAGACAAAACCAATTGTAGAGACATTTTTCATGATTTTATTTGCAATAATTATAAAATGTAAATACTATAAAAAAAATTATTATTATTTATATTTTAATAAAGTTTTCATTTTCATGAAATAATTGAACGAATTTGCACTGAACGATAAAGGCTTAGTCTTGAAGGCTTATCAATAATACTTAATGTATACCATATAGATACAAAGTATGAAACCAGTATAATAAAAATTATAACCATGTACAGTAATCTTTTGAGAAATAAGAATTTGATAAGAATACTAAATGATACACACATAAGCAAACAAACACACGATACATACGTCATTCGGAGATAATATTTCAGACGCTAATGCTGACGAACATGAAATGAATGTGGTTCTAAACATTTCACATAGCTATCAATAAATTGATAAAAAAAAACATTAAAAGAACAATATAAAGATCCTTAAATTTAATTGCAAACACGAACGTATAGATGAACGTTTTCGGGATTGTTAGGTATAAAAATAAAAACAAAATGAAGCCATTGAAATTCTATAGATAGGAAAATTTTATTCAAATCCAACTTATTGACTCTTGCCAACAAAATTATAACCATAAACTATAATATAGAATAATTTATAATTATAAACTGAAAAATAAGAAGAAATGACTACAGAAAGCCATACTGGCATTCAAACAGATGAGTAGATGATAATATATTAAGCGATATAATGCAATGGTACTTTATAGAAACATTGCAATACAGCATCGTCAAAAAACTACGTAAGTGTATTTGTCGGCGTAAAACCATATATAGAAAAGTAATATAAGTATCCAATGTATCTATATATGCATATATACATAAAATACAAAACCTTTCAATACGTATATATGCGTAAAGGTTTTGTTTACTGAACACAAAATTACTTGAAAAGTTGGCAAATCAAACAGTATAACAGTAATTTATAATTATATAATGGTACTGCTAAAGTTAAAATCTTATATGAATGTAGTGATGCTAAGAGGTAATGGTAGTCATCTAGTTTCATATCTGTTTCGTTGTTCATTACTGGAAGAATAAGCATTTAACTTGTTAATATTAGGCATCATTATAATTGAAAACTAAATCAAATTATCCTCTGATGTATCTTTTTAATTTAACAAATGCTAAATGATTGGACTTAGGATTGGAATGGGAGAAATAAATAAGACTAACAAAAAAGTTTAAATCTAGATAATATGCTTAAAAGCTGAAAGTGTGACAAAACACCATCATCAATAGACTATTAGGGTCAAAACTTAAATATAACGCTTAAGTCAGTTGACCAACTACTTATCTTTCCATTCATTCATCTATTCATTCATTCATTCATCTATTCATTTATTCATTCATCCGTCCAGGATGATCGAAGAGATATAAAATGAATACTTGATAAATACAAAATAAATAAATAATTAGGAAGACGACTTTGAAATAGGTTGCTACAAACACAAAATTGCACGCACAGATTAAGGAAAACCATTCAATAAATTAGACAGACTTGATTGACGGGCTGATAAATAAGCAGAGAAAAAAAAACGAACGAGCGTGTGTATGAAATGTAGTTATGAAATAAATTTCATTGTAGGAAGGATGTGCATATGTGTGTGTATATATGTGTGTGTGGTGTGTGTGTATATGTGTGTGATGTGTGTGTATATATGTGTGTATATATGTGTGTATATATATATATATATATATGTGTGTGTGTGAGTGTGTGTGTGTGTGTGTGTGTGTGTGTGTGTGTGTGTAAAACAGTAGTGTTGATATTCGTAACAATGTAAAAATAAATCATTCAGTGGTCCAACTCAAAAACAGGATAAATTATATATAGAAAAAAAATGAAAATTTAAAAGTGAACTCTTTCACAACTGTCCAATTCACTTAGTGTCTTTTGGTATTCCTTCTCTATCCTCTCCTTTGAGATGCATCTTTTTTCCTGTTCCGGTTTCATCATTTCGTGCTTGTGTTTGAAGGCTCTCATGTCCAGACTTAATCTTTTTAGGTGCTGTAGAGCTTCATCGGAGACATCTGAAGTTGCGCTCCCTGTGGCAGTCCCTGAGATGCCCCTTATAAAATCTTTTCTAACTTTCTGCGCACTGGCATATCTCAGTGATGAGAGTGTGCTGCTGCTAAGGTGAGAAGGGGTCAGGTGGTTTGTGTCCGGGTTGCTCTTGAAGTTGTACAGGGAGTGGGTGCTGTTCTGCTTCCTGTTGAGGATGACGTCACTTAATTTTAAAGATCGGTCGATCGTGTCTTTCAGTTTGTTCAGCTGATCAGAGCTATCATCCCTCCGACTGCTGAGGTTGAAATCTTTCGACGGCGATGGACCGCGGGACTGTGGGGCGGACTGGACGTTGAGGCGATCAGTTGTATCGCTACCGAAGTGAGACTCCAAGAAAGTGGACGATGAAAATTTGGTGACGATCGTTGACGACGCTTGGAAGTTGCAGAGCTGCTCGAGATGAACGTCGCTGGAAACTTTCGGGAGTTCATTCGGGAGGTCTTCGGAACTGACACCAAAAACCACGTTAGGACCTCCATCCGCAAGGGAGCCATCATCTTCAGATTTTTCTGTAAGAGTGTCTGCAAACGATAGATTGATTAAAAATTTACAGTTAAAAATTATCATAAATAAATAGAAAATATCCAAAAGGAGTGTTTAAATGCTTTCAAATAATTGCTCATTCAGTCCAAGATTAAGAGAATAATGATTAGTGTATGTGTGAATGTGTGCGCGCGTGTGTATGTGTGTTCGTGTGTGTGTGTGTGCATGTGTGTGTGCGTGTGTCAAGTAATCTTTTCTTAAAGATAACCAACCATCTAGCAATGAAACGATGAAAATAAGAACAAAAAAAAAATACATTTGATTAAAAAAATTACGTTAACCAAATCAATCAACCATTAAATTATCTAATTAACTAATTAAAATCAATCAACTATTAAATGATCTAATTAACCAATTAAACTTAATTAATGATATAAGAAAGTGCAATGACCTTTAGTAGGATCACTGACTCCATTAATTTCAACCTTTGTATCGACATCAACTGAGAATAAATTCTCAACCTGTAAATGTATTTTGGCTTCACATTTCAAACATTTTCTTGCTACATTGTTTAGCATCTGAATTGACATACATCAGCAATGAAACAAGTTCACTATATCTACCGCTACTAAATTATAATAAATTATGATAATTAGAATTATATACGTTTGATAAGTGAGTGTAAATCAACCGAACAATCAATCATTCAAGTGATCAATCTACTGACAACTAAATCATCATCTCTCTTGGCCAACCAGCCAACCAATCAAATCAACTATCCAATCTCTCAGTCAACCAATAAAATCAACCATCCAATCTTTTCAGTTAATCTGTCAACCAATCAAACCAACCATCCAATCTCTCGGTCAGTCAATCAATCCATCAACATCAACCATCCAATCTTTTCAATCAATCTGACAACCAATCAAATCAGCCTATAAATTACTTTGACCAATCAGCCAATCAATCAAATCAAGGACCAATCAGCCAACCAACCAATCAAACCAGCCACTCAACTAACATGATTGATACAGGCTTCGACAACTCTGCACTGATCAGGCATGTCGACGATTAGACTGTTTACATCATGCTCCTCGCGAGAACAAATTAAGGTGGGCCCAAAAACTATAGATATGTTGTTGGCCGTCATCTGGTTAAAAATTAAGCGCATTTTTTTATTTATTTTCATTCTTTTAAGTCTGATTTTTAAAATTTTTTTGGCCAAAAACAAATATATTTATATATCATTTATTTAATAAGGCAATAAATACATAAAATACATTTTTACATACATACATACATACGCACACTAACACATACACACATATACACACACATACACGCGCACACACACACACACACACACACACACACACACACACAACATACATTTAAAATACATTTGCGTTTTATTTCCGTACTAAAAAACAAAAAAGCCCCCCACTTTATTACTATCACCCTTCAGAGCAACTCTTTTAAGGTGCCTGGAGAGATACTTGAAAGTTTCAAAATGGTGGACGGGCAGTTTGTGGAGAATTTTTTTAAGCTCTCTGACCCTATCGACCTCTGTCGTGTGCCGTATCGCGTCTATGGCCGGCCTGTACAGGGCTGTGCGATTATAATATGCTAATTATAATATGCTAATTAGGATATGCCGATTGTAATATGCTAATTATGATGTGCTGATTATAATATGTTAATTATAATATGTAGACTGTAATGTGTACAGGGCTGTGCGATTATAATATGCTAATTATAACATGCTAATTAGGATATGCCGATTGTAATATGCTAATTATGATGTGCTGATTATAATATGTTAATTATAATATGTAGACTGTAATGTGTTAGTTGAATGGGTTAATGGAATTAATTAAAGTCAATAAACGAATGACTCGATGATAAATGAATGAGTGAATGAATGAATGAATGTATGAATGAATGAATGAATGAATGAATAAATGAATGAATGTTTGACTAATCAATCGATCAATCAATTGATCAATCAATCAATCAATCAATTTATCAATGAACCAACCAATCAGAACAAAACAGCCAGCCAATCAACGTACAGGTAGTTATAAGTGGCTCTGGCAGTTTCCTAAAGAAAAGTTTCAGCAAGCTACTGACGACATTAACATCAGCCCATCTCTCATCTTCATCACCATCATCCTCATCGTCGTCGTCATCGTCATCAGTGATATTGTATTTGACGTTTATCTCGTTTGATATCTGTACGACGATGGTGATGTACGACGATGATGTATGGTGATGAAGGTGATGTATGGTGATGATGACGATGTATGGTGATGACGGTGATGTAACGTGATGATGATGTATGATGATGATGACGATGTATGGTCATGGTGATGTATGATGATGATAATGATGTGTGATGATGATGTATGATGATAATGATGATGTATGGTGATGATGATGTATGGTGATGATGATGTATGGTGATGATGATGTATGGTGATGATGATGTATGACGATGTATGGTGATGATGACGATGGCGATGTATGATGGTGATGATGATGTACGATAATGATGGTGATATACCACACAAGAGGGTTCGGTATAATGAAAAAATCACACACACACACACACACGCTCGCACGCACGCACATACACACGCACACACATACATATACACACACGCACACACATACATACATACACGCACGCACATACACAAGCACACAAACTCACTGTTAACTCATGACAGAGAGAATTGACTAGAGTAGAATTCCCAGGGACTCTGTACAAACCCTGGTTATCTATGCCCCTCTTCTCTATGATCTTCGTGCAGACCACCACTAATAAAGGCACGTGCTGATTGGTCAGTCAGTTGGTTGATTGGTAAGATGGTTGGTTGGTTGGTTGGTAAGATGGTTGGTTGGTTGATTAGTTGGTTAGCAAGATTATAACTATTCGGAAAAAGAAACTACAATAATGATGAAAAATGAATTAAGTGTGAATGATAGAACGAACAGATAAATAAAAAAAAATGAGCCAATAACCAAATCCCCAAAGTTTTCCCAGACAAATAAATAAATGAACGAACGAACAAATAAACAAACGAATGACCGAACGAACGAACAACCTTATGATAAATAGACTGCCTGCAGAACTGCAGAGGCACCCCAAAGTTCCCCACAAAAAATGTTGGCGTCAGATTGAACGACCCGCACCTCTGCACCACTCCATCAAACAATCTGCTACCCCCATTGCTGCTCTTTTTGGACTTATTTGACTCCTTGGCTGTAATTCGGTTATTTATTATTATTATAATTATAATTATTATTAATATAGTTATTATTATTATTGTTAATATAGTTATTATTGTTATAATTATTAATCTAGTTATTATTGTCATAATTGTTATTGTTAATAACAACAACTAATTATAGTAGTAGAAGAAGCAGTAGGAGAAGTAGCATTAGTAGAAGCAGTAGTGGTAGTAGTAGTAATAGAAGCAGCAGACGAAGTTGTAGTAGTAATAGCGAATTATCATAAAAAACACTTTGTAACAGCATACCAATAATCTTATCATTATATATTTTATTACTTCATTCATTCATTCATTCATTCACTCATTTATCTATTTATTTATTCATTCATTTATTCATTCATTCATTCATTCATTCAATCAATCATTCATTCATTCATTGCATGATCATGATGATCCATAGTGTTTTTATAAATATAAATATGTATTCATCATCATCCTCATCATCATCGTCTTCATCATCATTAACATCATCATCATCATCATCGTCGTCAATGTCCATTGCCGATTTAATAATCAATATTGTGTGGTCATGTGTATGTGTTTGTAAGTGGTTGAAAGAGTGATAGAAAAAGAGAGAGAAAGAAAAAAATGAAAGAAAAAAAGGATGAAAAAAAGGGAGAGAGAAAGAGACAGACAGGCAGAGAAAGAGAGTAAAAGAATCATTTAAAACACAGAGCTCCAGCAGATAGGTTAAACGTTTTTCAAAGTAAACAAAATGTATCCATCCATTCACTGAGATGATTGATTGATTACATGATAAACACACACACACGCACGCACGCGCACGAACACCCACACACAAGCTAACACACGCACACAAACACACACACACACAAACACACGCACACACATTTTTTTGCATGAATGATATAATTTATTCCCTACTTTTTTTACGACCTACTAAGCTTAAAGCACTATTATTATTATTATTTTTATTGTTATTATTTTTATTATTCTTAGTGGCCTTCCTGGCTAGATCTTCTGAATATGACAAGACTCTTTGTTGTTGTTGTTGTTGTTCTAACCAGACTGATGATGAAGCATTCACCATCACGTTATGATGATGGTGTTGCTGATGATGAAGGTGATTGTTAACATCACAGTTGTTGTTGTTGTTGCTGTACTGTTGATTGGAGGAAAGGTTTTATTGAAGTAAGAAAAATCATCATTCGCTCATTCGTTCGTTTAATTATCCGTTCATTCATTCATTCGTTCGTTCGTTCATTCGTTCATTCATTCATTCGTTCATCAATTCGTTCGTTCATTCATTCAATCATTCATTCGTTCGTTCGTTCGTTAGTTCGTTCATTCAGTCCTTCAAACACTCATGAAGAAAGAATCAAACGATTGATACGTCTAGAAGCCATGAATTAAATTGCATTATATAATCATACTATACATCAGATGCACACATTTACATATTTAACAGACACATAAACATTTATATACACGCGCACAAACACACATACGCACACACATACGCGCACACACATGCACGCACACATACGCACGCACATACGCACACACACACAAACTTAAAAAAAAGCAATAAAACATAATTGATAGGTACTATAACTTCAATCAAAAGGCTTATCTATGACTCTGTGTAACATTGCAAGAAATTATTATCAAATGAATGAGTGATTGATTGGTTGATTTGATTGAATGATTGATTGATTTGATGAATAAATAGATGAATGAATAACGATTTAGACAAATGAATAAATGAAAGTAAGAATAGAAGAATGACTAAAAGAATGAATAAAATAAAAAAAAACTATAAATTAACAGTATAATTAACAACAACAACTAAAAAAACAAAAAACAACAAGGAGAAAAAACATTCTTCAAATGTAACCAGAACTAATTGATTACATTGAACTGCAAAGACACAACAGGAAAAAAAATTTTATATTCATTCTTTGCATAGCTACATTGTCTTGGTTTGGTATTTTTTTACATCCATGTTATATTTTTCTAGAAATTGAACTTTAGTTCATGTTATTAAAGGTTTTATTATTAAAAAATTATTAACTTAGAATGAAATGAACCGAAAACAATAAAAAAAATTACAAAAACAACCAACCAAAAAATCATAACTCTGGGACTCCTTTATAGCAACAATCCATTTTTCAACGTCAGAAGTTGAGTTAGAAATGAAGTTATATTTGGACCCAGCAGACGTCACAACCTCGAATAAATGTTTCTTCGGGTGCTGTACCATTTGAACTATACACCCCTCCAGTGGGATGGAATATTCCTCAGTAGATGGCATCTTGGAAATTGAAAGAAATTTGGAATAAAGTTATAGGAAACAGATTTTTAGAAAAAAATTGTATAAAAAAAGATTTAGAAAAATATTAAATATTCAATTTGATTGTTTATAAAGAAAAGATTTAGAAAAAATATTAAATATTTAATTAACCTTGAATAAAATTACCTCTGCTGACAAAGAATTTTAAAAATAATTGAATTTTAATTGATTGATCAAACCTCTAAAATCTTACAAATTCAAACTTCTAACATAATTTAAAATCTTGCAAATTATTAGCATCATACTAACCAAAAATAAATATCAGATGAAATGTTTTTGAAAAAAAGTATTTAATGACAATAAGAATTCAGATATTTTAATGTGATGACAATGGCAAGAGAGAGAGAGAGAGAGAGAGAAAGTGGTGAGAGAATGAGAGAGAGAGAGAGAGGAAGAGTGTGTGAAAATGAAAAAAAAACTGGCTGACCAGGAATCCATTCTTCTCTTTGATGTTCAAAAATGGACCTTTTATAGAACACATACCAACTTTGTAGCCCTGCCATTTCTTTAAAAATTAATAAATAAATTAACAAATATTAAAATTATATAATATTAAAATTTATAATACTGTGATTAACACATAAAAATTAAATTATGATTAAATTCAGATTTAATGTATTTAAAAATTAAATTTTATTTTGTAATAAAACATTATTAAGAATACAATTAAAAATAACAAATTGCTTAATTAAAATGATAAAAAATTTATGTTATTTAATTTTATATTTTAAAAATTAATTAATTCATATTGTATTTCTGATCTTTAATAATTTTTTTTAAATAAAAACTTAAAGTCTTAAACCAGTTTTCTTACCTGTCTTAGGAAAGGATCTGGGGAAAACAACAATCTTCCCTCCATTACAAATTTACTCAATTATCAAGTTAATATTAATATTTTAATTAATTATTCATTTATTAATTGCATTTAAATAATCATACTTTAATTAAAAAAGGTTCTCTAAAAAAAGGAAAAGTCTAACTTTCTAACTAACTCCTAACTTAAAAAAATCGGTTTTAAAATAAAAACTAGATCCGACAAAAAGATCAATTAATCAAAAAAATATATATTTAACGCGATCATTAATTCGTCCAATTAATTTAAATTATTTTAAATATTTTTATGATTAATTTTATTTAAAATTTGAAACTAACAAACGAGCCACCGCAATAGCATTATAATGAAACAGCAAGCAATTAAATGGAGATATATGATTTATAAGTAAAAGTTGTCAAATTTTTCAATTTTGTATAAAAACTTTAAATTTTAATAAATAATAAAAAACATAATTTTGTTTTAAAAAATTTACTATATTTATTTAAAAAGACAAAACTAATTATACTAGTATTTTGAGCTCAGTTATTAAAATTTACTTTTGTTTATTGGTGTTTTAAGTTTTTGTTGATTTATTTTATCGCCCAATAGCCTGTCAAAAATCTCCGAATTAAAATAAGTACCGTGTATGACAATGTTCCTTTTGGCCGAATTACGTGACACTGTGAAGGTTCATCCGAGATTTTTTGGGGAAAAAATTCAAAAGTCTATTGTAACGACTTTGAATAAAAAATACGCCAACAAGGTTTGTGTGTTTATTATGCTAATGTCCCATGCCTAGCTGTACTGTTAATTAGAGTAGAGAATTTTCAATTTCAAAAAAGTTAAAAAGTTTAATTTTAAAAGTTTAAGTTTTTTAAGTTCAATTTTAAAAAGTTAAAATTCTTAAATGCAAAAATTATTTCTCAAATTACAATTTGAAATGTATTTGTATTGATTTGTGTTTTTATTTTATTCATGGATAATTACTTGAAAATAATATTAATTATTATAAAATAAATTATAATTTATATTTCTATAATAATGTGATTTTGTTGATTCATCATATAGATTGTTCACAATGTTGGCCTGTGCATAGCTTTGTGGGACGTGACCAAAATGAAAGATAGCTATATATTTCCTGGCGATGGTTCATCTCACACCATTGGTGTGTATAACATGTTCATGTTCATATGTTCATTGGTGTTTCAAAAACATTTCACAAAATTATTATCGATTTAAACATTATTTATTTATTGTGATTTTTGCTTATCGTGTACCGTGTGTGTGAAAGTAGTGTTGTGTTGGTTTTATGTGTGTTTATGTGTGTATATATGTGTTTTAAATTCATTATTATTTCTAGTCATATAATTAATGAACTCTCCTACAGTTGAGTTCAGGTTCGTGGTTTTTAGGCCATTCGTTGATGAGATCCTAACAGGAAAAATAAAAAATTCATCATCCGAAGGAGTCAATGGTTGGTTTTCTGCCTAATGAATTAACATAAATTAACATAAATTAACATATTAGCAATCATTATTATGTATTCAACATCAGTTAGTATATATGTCAACTATATGCTATAATATACGATTCTAGATATCTATATTTTTCATATATTTTAAAATTATCATTTTGTAAACACATTTTACTTATTTTGATGGATCACATTGCTTGTAATTTTATATTAAATAAATAAATATATAATTAAATAAATAAATGAAGTAATAAATAAGATAGTTTTTAACAACTTTTCTAGTGACACTAGGCTTCTTCGATGACATCTTCATCCCTGCTGATTCTCTCCCTATTCCTAATAGATTGTTAGCTTTTTTATTATTTAAAATTAATTATAGTATTATTCTAAAATATTAATTAATAATTATATATATGAATATATTTTTTATTTATTATAACTTGTTGAAATATAATATTCTTATGGTACAAAATTATTTATTTTTAATTATTCCAAAGTATCGAAGCCAGTCAACTCTGGGCCTGGGAGTACGAAATGGAAGATGGAAAAAAACATGACCTAATTATCGAGCATGGAGAAGAAATTAGGTCAGGCCGTCACTCAGAAATATTGTTAATTATTTATATTAATGATTATTATTACAAATATAAGGATTATATTATATTAATGATTATTATTTATATTAATGATTATTATTACAATGATGTCCTGGTTATGACATTAAACTGACCCTCACTGTCTTGTGAGTGATGTTGGATCATCAAAGGTTAGGCCCACCGCTTATAACTGTGGTTGCGTAAGGAAGGGCGTCCTGCGTAAAAATTAGCCAAATAAATTATTACTTATGATGACAGAAGTGACAATGGCCCTCAGTATCCGGCAGAATGGCGTCGAGGGGTATTTCGGTTTCATCATAGGTAGCCAAACGGCAACCCCCGATCTCGGGGAAAATGTCGTCTAAACGTGTGCTGTTGTTGTTGTTGATTATTATTACAATGGTAATTATTGTATGGGCTATATTGTATGGACATACATACATACAAACAAACATACATGCATACACACATACATACAAACAAACATACAGATTCAAAGTTATAGATGAGATGTTTGTTGACAAGACACCATCCACACTAGCTAACCCTACAACAATCCAACAGCCTACAGATGCAAATGTCGCCCCATACTCAATTGTGGTATTTTTCTCACAATTTTAATAATTCATTGCCAACTTCAAACATACATACAGATACATACACACACATCCAAACACACACTCATTCACACACACATGCAAACACACACACACACACACACATACTAATTAGTTAACTTATTCATAGATCTAATTTTCCAACACCCCCAGGCCTCAATTAGTGACCCCGGATTAGGGTTGTTATCTTGGTGGGCGGGGACATAAAAGAAAATTGACATTTATTATTATTATTACTGCTGTCATCATTACATACTGTTGCTAATACTGTTGTTGGGTTTAGTTAAAAAAATTCATCTGTGATAACATTTCGAGCACCCGATCTCGGGGAGAATGTCGTCTAAACGTGTGTTGTTGTTGTTGTGATACAATTTAGAACTTATTCTTAACTGAACAAAAATGTTTGTTCGTTTGCTCCAACTCAACAATGTACATACACACACACACACACAGACATTTGTAAGTACTACCATTACGTTGAACAATCAACACGTATGCGTGCAAACTCGCGTACATTCACGTACGGGCACACACTCAAGTTATTTTGCATGCGTGTGCAGTTGAATTCGCTGAAGGTCAAAGATTATCCGTACCACATTTTCTATGAAAGTAAGTTTCTATATATAACATTCAGACTCCTACAAGAAACTTTTAAGTAAATTCAGCTGTAGATACAGATTCCAGACATTTTTAAATTTGTCTGTAGATACACATTTTTAAGGTATTACAAATCAACCGCTACCCATCCTTATTTTACTTTAATTTTTATCAAATACTTTTTACATTATATTTGAAAAAAGATTTCGTAAGCCATTGTTGTTTTATTTCTTTCTACATCGAGAACGCTTATTACACATTAACAACAAAACTAAATGATAATTAACTGTAATTAGAGTTGCTAATTAAAATAATGATTAAAAAAATTAAAGAAATGAAATTATTTTTTTATTTTTTTCTTCAAAGGCTCAGTAGCCTCCTTAGAAACATCTTCATCTTCCTCCATCTTATCTGGCTTTGGAATTTTCTTCTGTTTGTTTTTTTGTTTTGCTGAAAATATTTATAAAGAAATAATTAAACTTATAACTGTATTTATGACAATGACACATTGTATTGAAACAGTTACACATTACGATACTAGATTATTCGTTTGAAATAAAATTGAATCAACCAAGCATTCATCTGACACAGAAAAATTGAAAGATCCTTAAATAAATCGTTAAAATTATAGAAAAAAAACGGATAGCTAAGCCAACCATTTTTTAAGCTTTTTTTGTTCGTTCCAGCCTGCTGAGCTGTGTTATCAGCTAGATCATCATCAAAATCACTAACGACATCATCATCATCATCATTTGTGGCGGTGGCTGACTTATTTTTCTTATTCTTCTTCTTCCCACCATCAACATCATTGTTATTATTACTTTTATTATCATTATTATTGATGACGTCATTTATGGTGAGGTCATTTTCGTTGGATGCCACAGAGATCAACCTCTCCAGCTTCAGCTTTTCTCCACCCAGCTCCCAGCCTTGGTACTCTTTTATGGCTCTAGAGACTTCCTCAGGCTTGTGGAAAATGATTAGCGCATCTCTGGTGGGGTTGGTCAGTTTGTTAGTGAGTTAAGAAATTAGTGAGTCAGGAATTAATGAATTAAGAATTGGTGAATACAGAAAATCAGGGAATAGTGAATAAAAATTAAAAATCATCAAGATGTGAGCAGTTAAGGGCACACATCTATGTAAAAAAACAATGAGTGAATCCAGACAAACTAAATAACGTATTTGGTTCAGAGAGAATCTGGAAAGAATTCGTAGTAAATCAGATGGAGACTTATAAAAAATTTTTAGAAAATAGGCAAAAGTAATTATATCACAAGGTTAAAATGAATTAGTAGAAAAACAAAAAAATAAATAAAAGTGACACCTCAGGGCATTCCCCTTCGAACTAGGGATAACCACAGATTCGGATTTCTTGAAGACATCAACCAGCGTTTTCTTGCTAACAAATTTTGTGAGTCCCTTGACGCAGAGAAGTCGATCGAGGAGTGATATTGCTGTGTTGGTTGGGGTAAATTATTCATCAAATTATTCAGATCTAAGTTAAAAAAATTATTAAATAATTATAATTACAGAAACTAGGCCAATATTTACTTTCTAATATAAAATTTTACAAGATTTGAATTGTTATCACAAGAAAAATATTCATTACACTTGAAAAGATTTAACGATTCATAACCATTTACTACAGAAGTTACAAATATCAACAAAAGAAAACAAAACTAAATCAGAACCTAGAAGAGAAAACGGAGAAAGATATATATAATATCAAGATACCAATAACATCATGATACAACAACGAACATTCTACAGGTTGTGATTCTTTATTCTTCTCAACTTCTTTATTCTCTTTGACTCTATCGGCCACGATGACGGAATTTTTAAACATCTGTCCTTTTAGCTTAGAGCAAAGTTCATTTAACTTATCTTCTGATCCGATGTCTACAAAACCAAACTTCCTAATGGTGAATTGATGTAGTAAATTGGTGAGAAGAGAATTGATGATGAAAAAATATTTTTAAATGTTTCATTTCATTTATAAAGAGTTCTTTGATCTGACCATGAACACACTCACACACAGAAACACACACAAAGATTGAATTACTTTTTATCAATTTTGTTGACAGCTGTCACAGGGAAGCCATGTTTTTCCACCAATTCCTTCAGTTGTTGGGCTGTCACACCCATAAAATCTCGACAGGCAAGAAACAAACTTGTTGACTCTTAAAAAAAGTAGAGTTGAAATTTGATTAAATTCTAATAAATTAAAAAAATAATAAACTTGTCGGATCACATTAGTTGACATTTCAGATAACGATTTAAATTTCATTTAATTAAAAAAACAAGATACTATCGTAAATTTATTCATAAATCCAATCAAAATCCAACTAATCAATAAACCTAAATTAAGAAAAATATAAAACTCACTGTTAATTTTAACAACTTCTTCCTCGTCCTCTTCTCTTGAACGTTTTTTGCCTTTGCCACCACCCATGACTGAACTAAAAAATTTTAAAAATATAATTATAAAATACATATATCTATCTATATAATCTATATAATATAGATAGATAGAATAGAGATACATTATACAGTATACACAAACACATACAATCAATCACACACTTACACAACTTGTCTTATGCAGATGCACGCACACACAAACACACACACAAAACACTCAAAATGTTTTAAAACTAAGAAGACGTTCTAACATCCCTGACAAGCACTAACAGTTACACAATTCGTAACTCTAGTGACCTACTTACTAACTATAAAAATTAAATTTTGAAATTTTAATTTTAAATAAAAATAAAATAAAAACGTTAGCAGTCATTTCGGAGTGTAAAATTCTTTAATAAGGCGATCAAAAATTTGTAATATAAAATAACAAATGAATTTTAATCAATATTAAAAAAAATTTACCTTCAAATTTTTTGAAAATTGGAAAAGATAAAATGGTAAATAATTAAAATACAAAACGATTCGAATACACGCCGGATCTAATCACTAATTATCGACTGCACATGCAAAGATACGGTAACAATTTTTATGAAAAAGAGTAGAGAACAAAAAATAAAATTTATTTAGCACAGAAACAAGTTTTTATTAAAGAAAAACAGTTAAAAAACTGCAAAAATAGTAATAACATATGAAAAATACAGCAATATATGTTAATGAACTGAAAAACTAGATTTATATAATGATAGGAGTGCCTTTTACGAAGTTTAAGTAGCAAAAAAGCTATTGTTAATACCAAGTTAACAGACCAGGCTATTATATCTTCATTTTAAAGAATTGTTTATTAATAAATTAAATAATATAAACTTATTTAAATGGTTTTAATTAATTTATTAATTAATTTATCGTAGTTAATATTTATTATTTTAATTTTGAATTCGCATATAAGGTTGGCTTATTGGAATGCCTTTAAAACTAATATTTGTTTTAAATTTAAGCTAAAGTGAAATTAAACAAAACATTTCTCCATACAAACATTTATAAAAAAAATTTATTTTAATCTCATTTGCACGTATAAAAGCAAGTTTCGAACCAGCTATACTAAAACATGGACGACAAAGGAGCTGGTGACGTGTGCCCGGAGCAACAAATGACGTCACCCACACTCGTTACGTCAGAGGGATGTGCTCATAAGTTTTGCAAAACATGTCACGTGAAATATTTGAAGAGTGAGGAAACAGATGAAAGAAAAATTTCCGATAACAATGGCGACGATGGGTGCCCTGCGTGTCAAAGTTCAAATTCTCCGAAAAATTGGTATTTTTCATTTTTAAAATTTTAATTATTGAATGTTTTTTACGCACTTTTTTTCCTAAATTTGAATTAAATGACTGAAGTTCTCGGCGAATATATAAAAATTATTTTTTCTCTTGTGGGCAAATGCGACATTAGTTTTCTATTTTTAACGATACGAATAACAAAATATTCTAACTAAATATCGATTTCAATGCCTGCATGGATTATGCAAAAATATTTTTTGGCGAATTTGTTGATGATGCAGTGAAAGTAGCGACTCGTCACCGTCTTCCCAGTCGGCAGCTACAGCAGCAACTGCAACGACCACTCCGAGCCCGTCATCATCATCATCCTCGCCATTGTCGTCGTCGTCGTCGTCATCAACTTCAGCAACACTTGTTCAAAAACCTCATCCAACTTCGTGCAAGGTTAGCAAGAAAAGTAAAAACAAACACAACAGCAACAGCAACAAAACGAACCAATCGCAACAGAAGCAGAATGTTGACAACAAAAATGGTGACCGCGTCAAACGTTCGTCTACCAATAACAGTCCTAACGAGAACAAAATCAACGACAACAACAACAACAACAACAACAACAACAGCAACAACAACAACAACAACAACAACAACAACAGCAACAACAACAACAACAGTTCTAATAAAAGAAATAATTCACCTGAGACGAAGCAAAACGAAGCAGTGGAACAAGTTGCTTACTATGAATATTACAGTCCTTTCTACAACGCTGATAGCAGACACAGCAGCAGCAACAACAACTTCTACATCAATGGTAATATCAACTCTGCTCCAGCCAGCAACAGCAACTTACAAATCAGCTACAACGTTGACGACAACAACAACAACAACATAAAACATTTCTGCCAACAGTGCGGTAATAGGGATGATCCTCACTTCTGTCAACACTGTCAATTATTCTTGTGCCACATGTGCATCGCATCTCATTTGTTGGTTGCTCAACCGCCTCAACTATCACCGCAACAAATTCAGCAACAAATCCAGCAACAAATCCAGCAACAAATTCAACCGCAGCAGCATCACTTTCATTTGCAACAGCAGCAATTGTATATGCAACAACAACAGCAACAACAGCAACAACAGAATCACTTGGTGCAACATCAACAGTATCAGACGCAACAAAACGATTATTCATCAACATTCCCACCGCAACCCATCCAGCTCAGCAACATCAACATCTCAACCGACAACAACAATTTCGACTACATTGACAACAACTACGAAGAAGACGACAACGAAACGACCGCAGCTGCCAGTGCTGACAATTCGCCAGCCTCCTCCATGCCCGAGGAGTTGTGCTGCCTGCACGCGGACCGCCTCTACAAACTCTACTGCAAACAGTGCAACCAAGCCCTCTGCGACAGATGCGTGGTCGAGAGTGGCTGTCTCAAACACGAAACCATCTCCACCACTGAGCTGCAGAATCTTCAGGGGGAAACACTTCTCGCCTGCGAGGTCAAAACAAGGAAACATTTGGCCGACCTGCAAGAGAGCAGCTCCAACGTTGGGAAGTTGTTGAACCAGTTGAAAGGTAGATATGAAGATATGCTGAAGCTCGTCGAAAAGACACACGTCTATTTTTTGCAGGTAAACTAATCCTCGGACATGTTGCCTGCCAAATAAATATTTTTTAAGAATTGTTTTTGTTAAATTTTTTCATTTTTCATAACGCAGCTCTGTCAAACGTAGCAACTTGCACATTAATATTGAACTTTTAATTGAAACTTCCTGTCACATAGGCTGTTCTGTGTTACATTTTGTTGCTAAAAGACTACAATCAACTTATTTATTAACAATTATAAAAAGATGAGAATGAAACATCACCTGGCATCCATCCGAGCAGGTCTTGCAGGAGCGTCGCGAGGAAATCTACGCCGAGCTGGAACTGAGCTACACGTCGAAACACTCTCGACTGCAAACGGTGAAGACGAACTTGAACGACTGCTTGGCGGAGATGAATGACGCCATCGTCCTCATCGAAACCCTTCTGCCTCTGCCCTTCAACTCCAAACTCATCACCCTAAAGCGAGACGTTGGCCAAAAGATTAGCGAACTTGTGCCATACAAAGCCGATTTCATGGAACTGACCGAAATGGTGCACGCCTTGAACTTCCACTCTAACAAGCAAACAGTTCGACCGACGATCAGAAACGCGTTTGGTTTTGTCGGGGCGGTGGTTAGTCTGCCATCTGACGATAAAAACTCCTCTTCGAAAATTTTTGACGAGCGCTCCCTGAAGCAAGCGACAGACAACAACAGCATCTACAACGAGTCGCGAATTTCAGCTAGCGACTCCATCAACTTCGACGTCTCCAAGCAACCACCGCTGAGCTGCCAAATGAACGGGAAGAACAACAATAATGTAAGCAGTGACATCAAAAACAGCAGCGACAGAAGTTACGTGAATCGCGGCAGTATCAGCAACCACGACATAAGCAACAACAACAACAGCAACAACAACAGCAACAACAACAACAGCAGTTTTAGCAACGAAAAATCTTATCTATTGAACAGCCGTTCGTCTATTGCAACGGCATCATCAACAACAGCGCGCCAACAAACAACGATCGGTAGCAGCGGGCAGCAGACCAACAAACCAAACTACAGCAACAACTACAACAACAACTACAACAACAGCAACAACAACAGCAACAACACGTATGTGAAACCGCCCAGACATCAAAACAATCAATCTTTCACCGGTAACATACGCTCTCCCCACTTGCCCATTGCCAACAGCAGCAGCAGTAGTGGAGATCTCAAACCATCGGCCGGCAAATCGCAGGCACTCCTCTCCATCACTGCCAAAAACATCCTCAATGTTGAGAGCATTGCTGGTACCGGTATGACGGAAGAGGAAATTGCGAGGTGGTGTTTGTGTATGTGTGTGTGTATGTGTGTGTGTGTGTGTGTGTATGTATGAGTGTGTGTGTGTTGTGTATGTGTGTTTATTTATGCGTTTGTGTATGTGTGTTTGTTCATGCGTTTGTGTATGTGTGTTTGTTTATGCGTTTGTGTATGTGTGTTAATTTATGCGTTTGTGTATGTGTGTTTGTTTATGCGTTTGTGTATGTGTGTTAATTTATGCGTTTGTGTATGTGTGTTTATTTATGCGTTTGTGTATGTGTGTTTATTTATGTGGTTGTGTGAGTCTGCATGTAGCATAACACAACAACAACATCAGTACGGCAAGCACCACATCAACAACAAACCACACACCCACAACAAGCACCACATCAACAACAAACCACACACCCACAACAAGCCACACATCAACAACAAATCACACACCACCACAACAAACTTAGATCCATCCTTCCAACGATTCAAATTGGCCCGGACTTCAGGCGAATAAAAATGGAGTACCATTGCAAATTTGGCGAATATGGAAATGAAGCCGGCCTCTTTACAGAGCCAAGTGGTGTGGCCGTTGGTAGGGATAATGAAATTCTGGTTGCAGATGCTAATAACCATAGAATTCAAGTGTGTGTGTGTGTGTGTGTGTGTGTGTGTGTGTGTGTGTGTGTGTTGGTGAGTGTTTGCGTGTGTGTGTGTACGTGTTGTTCTATGTGTGTTACTTTGTGTGTGTTATTTTGTGTGCGTTATTTGTTTTATACTGATGACACATGCAATAAGCAAACAATGGAATACGGACATACTTCTGCACACGTACCGAATACAGACACACACACATGAACACACACGTACACAAAAAACACACACATACGCACAAACACACACATACACAAAAAACACACACATACACAAAAAACACACATTCACACAAACACACACATTCACACAAACACTCAGGTGTTTGATAGCACGGGAGCATTCCGCCGAATCATTGGTCAGGATTCCACACGTGGTGTGAGCAGTGGTGACGTCAGAGGGTCTCAAAATGAGGGTGACCTTGTCTACCCCAACAGGCTGGCCGTTAACAAGGTCACCGGGTGCATCTACGTCACTGAAAGAAGCCCTACGCATCAAGTTCGTTGGAGGAGGAAGATGAGGAGATGATGGTGATGAAAATGATCTAACTAATCGATCGATCACTGCAATTTATATAGCGCCATTCTTTTGTCTTCTATTTGAATTTGCAATATTCGACAGATACATATCGTAGTCAAAGTTATAGAAAATAACGCGTTGGATAATAAACTGAAACGCCTGCTGGATTTGAATCAATTCATCTACATTTTAATCAATCAACAAACCAAACAATCAATCAATCAATAAACCAATTAGTTTACCAATCAATAAACATTTAACCAATCAACCAACCGACCAACCAAGCAACCAATCAATCAACCAACCAAGCAACCATCCAACCAGCAAACCAAACAACCAATCAACCAAACATACAACCAACCAGCCAACTAACCAGCCAAACAACCAGTCAGTCAAACAACCAAACAACCAACCAAACCAATCAACCAACTTAACAACCATCCAATCAACCAACCAGCCAAACCAATCAATCAATTCAGGTCAGGGTTTACGACGAGACTGGCAGATTTGTGAGAAGGTTCGGGGCTCACGTACTCCAACACCCGCGAGGCATCACTGTGGATAGACTGGGACGCATCATCGTCATCGAATGCAAAGTGGGAAAATATATTAATTATTATTATTATTATTATTATTATTATTATTATTATTATAATTATTCGCTACATCTATGCTTTACAAACGTGAAAAATACAAGAACGATCTCAAAAATGGTTTGTCAAACGATTATTTAAGTTTTAATGTCACGAATAAAACTTTCGAAATTAGCCCAATCGGTTTATTTTAATCCTTTTAGGTTATCCTTAATTGATTTAACTTGGCCAGTCGATTTTAAAAATGACTTAGCGAAGTGTGTAATTAATTCATCGTACAAGGAACAATATACTGTGATAGGAACAATAGATGAACAATTTTTGTAGCATTTTTTTGTAGCATTTAGTATATTTATGATAATTGATTTTATATTTTGAGGTTTGATGATAATTAAAAAAGCTCCCATTATTTATTATTATTATTATAAAAATATCACTTAAGACTAATCTGATCCCGTGGTACGCATTCTTCTGAGAATAATTCATAACATTTTATTATATTTATTTTATTTATTTATTTATTTCTTTAAAGACACAAAAAGTAAACAGAAAGATACTTCTAATAGTGCCTTAACTAAAAATTGTAAAAAATATTTCGACGAGAGAACTAAAATGACCAAACTTTTGCAAAAATAGAGTTAAAAATTAAAAATATATATATTTTTTTAATTTTGATTATCATTGACAATTATTGTTTCTTCCATTCCATGCATGATTTTACGATGAAAATAAAAAAGGTGTTTTCATTATTATTTTACTATTCTATTGTATCATCATCAGCATCACTCCATCATCGTCGTCATCACCATCAGTCATCACCATCAGTCATCATCATCAGTCATCATCATCAGTTATCATCATCATCATCATCATTATCAACATCGCAATCATCAGCAATATCATCGTCATCATCGTCATCATCATCGTCATCATCACCATCATCATCATCACCACCGCCATCATCATCATCATGACCATCCAGGTAATGAGAGTAGTGATCTTCAACTCGTCCGGATCCGTCCTGAATAGGTTTATCGTGGAGAAGAAGGTCAACTTCCCGAATGGAGTGGCAGTTAACGACAAAGAGGAAATATTCATTAGCGATAATAGGTGAGAAAAATAATTTATCATTGTTCTTTTTATTATTATTCTTTGTTGTTATTGTTGTATGATTAGTAGTAAAGGTAGTAGCAGCAGTGGTAGTAGAAGCAGCAGTAGTGGTTTTAGCGGTAGTAGTAGTGGTAGCAGTAGCAACAGTAGCGGCATCAACAGTAGTAGTAGTAGCTGCAGTAGTGGTTTTAGTAGTAGTAGTGGTAGATGCAGTAGTGTTTTAGTGGTAGTAGTAGTGGTAACTGCAGTAGTGGTTTTAGTGGTAGTAGTAGTAGTAGTAGTAACAGTATTGATTTTCTTTCTCTAATAATTTAAACCTGATTTCTAGGAGACACGGAGTGGTGGTTTTTGACTACCAGGGAGCATTCCTTCGTACCATTGGTGGGATAGGGATCACAAATTATCCCATCGGAGTTGGCATCAATTCGGCCGGGGAAGTAGTAGTGGCAGATAATCATAACAACTTCAATGTCACACTATTCACTCAGGTCGGTTGGCTGATCGGTTGGTTGGTCGGTTGGCCCGTTGGTTGGCTGGTCGGTTGGTTGGTTGATTGGATAGTTGGTTGGTTGGCTGGTTGTTTGGTTGGTTGATTAGATGGCTGGTTAGTCGTCTGGCTGGTTGGTCAAAGCTCACACAAATTGTTACAAAAATTAAAGTCAGACACACCGCAAACACACCAAATAACCTCAAAAAAAGACCAAAATCACACAACAAACACACCAAAATCACACCACACTCCACTCTAAAACTTCTAGGATGGGCAACTTATAAGAGCCCTGGAGAGTAGAGTCAAACATGCCCAATGTTTCGACACGGCCCTCATGGGCGACGGTTCAATTGTCCTCTCAAGTAAAGATTACAGAATCTACATTTATCATTACGGGGCATACCCACCATCCAACGACAACAACAACACTAACAACAACAACAACGTCATTAATAATAATAATAATAATTACACAAATGGTAGTACTAATAATAACAATATTATTAATAATAGTTACTGTAATAATAATGGTAATAATATTTCTGTGCCTATTTGTGTGGGACCTGCTATTAACAAGTATATGTAAATATATAAATAGATATACAATTACACACACACACACACACATTTATACACACATACACACACGCACACATACACACACGCACACACGTACGCACACACGTAGACTAATACAAATATGTGTATATATACAAACGAATGATTTATGTACAGAAACTATATTATAATTATTTCTATTTTGAATTTTTGAATTTTATTTTAAATTAATATTTTAAAATTAAAATATAGATCCACTTTTCTTTTTCTTTCTTAATTTTTTTTAAAATTTGTGAATAGAATTTAATAAAATTTATTGTGAATTTATTCAATTGATTGACTCTATTGAAATGTACAAACTTCGGTTTTTTTGCTCTTTATATATCTGTGTCCATCTGTCTATCCATTCATTCATCCACTCACCCATCCATTCATTCATCCATTCATTCATTCTTTCATCCATCCATCCATCTAAACAATCCATCCATACATCTATCTGTATGTATTTTTTGTCATATTTTTACGCACGAATACAATTTAATATTACGTAGCATGTACTTTAAATCCGCTGAATTAAATGAAGTTTAACAAGATTTTGAGAATGTTTTAAAATAATTTTTCTCACCTTTTATTTATTAAATTATTCATCCACTTGTGAATCATTCATCCACTTGTGGATTATTCATTCATTTATTTTATTATTTCACGCAAAAAAAATTAGCCATCATCGTCGTCGTCTTCAATATTTTTTTTTATCTTATATACTGATAAGAAGGTTTTAACACTGAATAGCTTATGTAATATATTTATATATATTTATTTATTTATAAATTATAACTTATATATATTTATAAGTTATAATTATTAATTATAATTATAACACCATTGTGTTCTTAACTATTAGTCTCGACATCACAATTTGCGTTTCTTGGCTGCAATAATTGAGTTTTCAGATCTTAAACCTTAGGCAGGCTACTGACAAGTCTCGTGATGAGACGGGACGTACGTCTGGTCTACGGCGGGTAATGGTTTACCAGTAATATAGGTTTACCAGTAATGTAGGTTTACCAGTAATATAGGTTTAACAGTAATATAGGTTTACCAGTAATATAGGTTTACCAGTAATGTAGGTTTACCAGTAATATAGGTTTACCAGTAATATAGGTTTACCAGTAATGTAGGTTTACCAGTAATGTAGGTTTACCAGTAATGTAGGTTTACCAGTAATGTAGGTTTACCAGTAATAATATATATATATATAATTTTTTGTAACTGTTTAAATACATTTAAGTAAAAAGACTGTTTTTTTTGTTATTATTATTGTTGGCAAATTTGTTATTATTATCGTTATTCTTGTTGTTTCTATTGTTATTATTATTTTATTATTATTATTACTAATGTTTTTTATTATTATTATTTTAAAAATTAATACCCAAGTGTTTCGTTTTTACGTTAAATCTCTGTATACTTTGTTTGCTTAGAATCATTTGTATTCATTCATTTGTTCGTTCGTTCATTCATTCATTCGTTCGTTCGTTTGTTCGTTCATTCATTCATTCATCCATCTATTCATTCATTCAGGTAATTGAAAAAAAATCTTCTTAAGTACAAACTACATTGGTTATATTTGAAACTATTTTCGTTTACCTTTTGTTCATGCATACATCACTTTTTTCTATTTAACTTAATTAACTTAATTAACTTAATTAATTAACTCAACTTAGTTTGCGCGTGCAACTGATAAGGAAATATTATTTAAATGGAATTATTAAACACTAAAAAAATAACCTAGTAGACATTTCAAATGCGTTGTTGTCTTTCAGCGGTTTAAACGAATGCAGACTTCTTTTGCAAAAAGTTCTCTTGATTTAAAAAAGAAATATCCAAAATTTCATTTGATTACACTTGTAGGACGGTATCTCTTAGTTTCATAACAATAAGACATCATCATCATCACCGTCATAATCATCACCATCATCATCACTATCATCATCTTTATCATCAATGGGCGACAAGGTAGTAGCAAATGTAGTAGCAGCTGTAGTAGTAGTAGTAGCAGGTGTAGTAGTAGCTTTAGTAGTAGTAGCAGCTGTAGAAGTAGCAGGTTTAGTAGCAGCTTTAGTAGTAGCAGCAGCTGTAGTAGTAGTAGCAGGTGTAGTAGCAGCTGTAGAAGTAGCAACAGCAGTAGTAGTATGTAATGTTATTGAATGAAAATCCGGATCCAAAAGGCCTCTAGCGAACGCAAACAGAATTTTGACGGAATGATTTGTTGTCTTGTCAACTGACTGATACAATTTCACAATATGAGTGAGAAATATTTATTAATAAAGAAGAATGCATGTGTGTTTGTGTATGCATGTTTGTGTGCGTGTATGTTTGTGTGTGTGTATGTTTGCGTGCGTGTGTGTGTTTGTATGTGTGTGCGTGTGTGTGTGTTTGTATGTGTGTGTGTGTGTGTGTTTGTATGTGTGCCAGTGTTTGTGTATTTGATGTATATATACTGTTTATATATACAAAATTTATAATACGTAATGTTTGTACGCGAATGCATAATATTATATAAATAAAAAATCTTGTATAAACATTTAAACTAATCGTTATTTTCTTCATAATCAACGTCATCATCATCGTCATCATCATCGTCATCGTCATTATCATCAGAGTCCACATCAAAAAAGAGTTTCAAGCAATTTTTTTCTCTCTCTCTTTTCCGGAGATAATTGTCATCGTCATCATCATCGTCATCGTCGTCACCATCATCATTATCATCGTCATCGTCATCCTAGCTATTATCACCTCTCTCTACTCTATCATAAGACAAACATTCAAACAAACGAACATTACAAACGAACATACAAACAAACGAACATACAAACGAACTTACAAACAAACGAACATACAAACGAACTTATAAACAAACGAACATACAAACGAACTTACAAACAATAGAACATACAAACGAACATACAAACAATAAAACATACAAACGAACTTACAAACAAACGAACATACAAACGAACTTACAAACAAACGAACATACAAACGAACTTACAAACAATAGAACATACAAACGAACATACTAACAATAAAACATACAAACGAACACACAAACAATAGAACATACAAACGAACATACAAACAATAGAACATACAAACGAACATACAAGCAATAGAACATACAAACGAACATACAATCAATAAAACATACAAGCAAGCAAACATACAGACAAATCTACAAACAAACTCACAAAAAATATATATACAAATGCAAACCCCCATACAAGCGAAATTGCTACAATCACATTGCTTGCGTGCTCCAATGTTAAAAGATTGAAATGGATATTTATGTGTGGAGAGAGATGGAGACGCTGGAGACGATGTCTGTGTATGTGCGTGTGTGTATGATGTGTATATGTTTGTGTGTGTGTGTGTGTGTGCGTGCGTGTGTGTGGTGTGTATATGTTTGTGCGTGTGCGTGTATATATGTTTGTGTTTTGTTTGGATCAAATAAATATATTGAATTGAATTGTATGTGTTTGGGTGTGTGTGTGTGTGTGTGTTTATACACGTCTGTTTTGTTGCTAAGAGTCTTTTTCTTGCTCTAACTTATAATTTCAATGTTTACCTCGCACTTCCGAGCTGCAGAGAGATTAAAAAAGATCTTTATTTTCATATCTATGTTTATCAGATCGCTGCTGCCATTACGTCATGTTTTTAATGTCATTTGTATATATGCTATTAATTCTTTGTATCAAACAATTTTCGCTATTAGGTTACCGGAGTCCATGTTGTTTATTCTTTGTATTTAATAACATTTCAATAACCTATGGTTGCTAGGTTGGCCTCTATAGGCTCGAGGCTAAATTGTCAATATCTACGAACGAATATATTTATCTATCTATGCTATCTAGGTCTGTTAGTATCTTTTATTTAGATATCTATAGAATGGAACGCACAATTTCGCGGGAATAATTGTGGAAAAACACCCATCTGCCAAGCGGACAAATGAATGTAAACACAAAGGCCTAGTGTGTAGATATATATATTTGGTAGTTTTTCATGCGATTGCGTGTGTTGTGTGTGCGTGTGTTGTGTGTGCGTGTGTGTGTGTGTCTATGTGTATGTTTTGTTAAGTTAAAATGCATGTTAGTAATTTTCATATTTTTCAAGGATACGTTTGTGTATTTTAATCTTTTCACCATGTACCTCTCTAACACAGCATACATCCAATTGTTTAAAATGGTTTTTATATTTGTGCGAACGGTTGTGCAAACGTTCGACAAACCTGACGAACACTAAATGTGT